ATTTCATGTCTTTTACTTTTACTTCAGTCATGTTTGTGTCATGTGACCTCCTGTTCCAGCTTGTTTCTCATGTCATTTTTTCATTGGTTCATTGTCTTTTCTCATTATTAGTTCTGTTCGCTCACTGGTTCATGTTCATTTGTCTTGTTATCTTGTTTAGCAGTTCTGTTAACTTTTGTCATTGATTGTGTCATGTGATTAACACATAGTCTTGCAATTAAACCCTGATTTGCCATTTTTTCTTGTACTGAAGCACTGAAGCTATTCCATGCCATGTCATTGTTTTTATCTAGTCAAGCTCATAGCTCATGGTTATGTTTAGTTTCTCATCTAAGATTAAGCTCAGAGTTTATGTTCTGGATAAAATCCATTCCATCTTCCCAACATTGAACACTGGTCAATAGTATTACCATTGTTTCTATGATATTTACAAGTATCATGGTAATACCATGGTATTCTTTGAGGTGTTTTGGAGTAATATGTAAATAATTATGCAAAGCACACAATCTTCCTCACTAAAAGCACCATGGTATTATCATGCTTTTTTGAAGTACAATGTAATAAATAATACTACCATGTTTTTTTTCTGGACACAATACTATTGTAAAACTTTTTGGACATGGTACTAAGAAACATCTAAATAATTATGCCTATAATTTAACGCTACTGGTTTGCATTGATTATAACTGCTTTTTAATGGTTTAATGTTTTTTCTCTAAGTATTATAAACTTCCTTGGTTTGCATTAATTATATATATATATTTTTTATTATTATTCTATTTTAGCATTGAAAACAGCATTTATTAGACAAGCCAGACTTAATTGCTGATTTGAAATATGCTATTTAAATGCCAGAGATTTCAGTATTTCCCCATTCATAAATATAGTTTGTCTTGCATGCCTGAAGTAGCTGCCTGGAGGCGTTGGAAATATGGCCACCAAGTAAATATTATTTTCCTTAAAAAGTACTTTGATACTACTTTGTTGCAACATGGGTTTGGCTAGTTAGCATGGTTCAGTTAGCTACACCATTCTGCTTGCAAAAAGCATTTTTTTCCTCTACTGACAGTCATTCAAAAGTGTCCATGGCATTTATTCAGGTAGATCATATGTTTGACTGATAAAATCCACTACCAAACACTTTGAAATAAATGGGAATGTTAATGGATATACAGTATAGTTTTCTCCAAGTATGATATTATACACTTCCTTGGTTTGATTAGAATTGCATAATGTTCACATACTATTTTTTAAATATAGTTGGCAATATTCAGTATACACTGTGAAGTGCACAGTGCTCTAGAATTCTATTCCAAACACTGCCTGAGCATTTGCCCCTGTGTCTGAGAGAAAGAGATTGTTGGGACACAAGCGCATGCATATACATCCATCTATCTGCTGTCAAGTGCCTAATTCCCCGTCTCTCCCACTTCTCATCCTCCATACTTTTCACACATTCCCCCTCTCTTTTCTTTCACCTGCTCTTGTTTCATTTATCGCCAGGCTCATGTCAACACTTAGTTTCAGTGTTGGGCTTTAACATCCCGTTGCGTGTCGGCGCTCGGCAGGAGACATGCATGAATTAACACAGACACAAAATCTGGAGATAATGTCGATCTTTGAAGCGGTTTAGATAATGCCATGAAAGTGTGTGTTTATGACTGTATGCAAATAATATCGTCCTGTTTCAAAACCTCTCCATTCCTAGGGGCCAAGAACACCTATTAGTACCAATCATAAAAAAATACACTATGAAGCAGTTAGAATAATCTAGTCATTATTGTCACATTACTACATTCCTTGAGGAGACAGATGGCAGTGAGGCGCATTCTGTCTCACGGAGAATGCAGCACATAATAACTTGTGGAAATTAGCAAATTCATCTCAAGCAATCTACTCACTTACTCACTTTGTGTTTGTCTCAATCGTGCCATCTTCCAATGCACCACTTTTACTCTCTGTTACTCTCTATAGAAAAATTTGCAAAAAGTACGGTGGTAAAACCATGTTTACCATGTGCCATGTGTTAGAACATGGTACAATAGGGATTCTTTGGTTTTTTTGGACATGGTACAATGGTATGATATCTTGAAGCAACATCTAAATAATTATGGAATCTCATTCCACCTTCCCAATACTGGACATTACCATTGTTTATAGACTAGAACAAATATACAAGTATCATGGTAATACCATGGTATTCTACGAAGTTTATTGGAGTAACATGTAAATAATTATTCCAAGCACACAATCTTCTTCACTAAAACACCACGGTATTATGCTTTCTAAAGTACAATGGAATAGTATTCCCATGTCTTTTTTTCTGGACAGTGTACTATAGTAAAAGTTTTAGAGGGTTTTTTGGACATGCAACATATAATATCTAAAAAGCGCGCTCATTGACATTGGAGTAAAAGATGCGTATGGGCGAGCGCAAGGAGACGCATGAAACAATGCAGGAATGCAATGCAAAAGCCACGCTACCTTTAAGTCGTCCTTTCGCTGTCATCCTCAAACTACCAAAAATATTTCATTGGATCGAGATGTTAATCTCTCTCTTGCTCTCCTCCCTTTCTATGGCTCTCTCTCTCGGGTAACCTGGCACTGTATAACAGTTCATCCATCCGCCAGCAGGCGCGCGCAGCCGTCTATGCGCTCCACAAATGTGGCAAGCCCTTTCCCATTTATTATTCTTCAAAACTGTTTCTTAGATTTATGTGACTGCAATTTAGTTTTAATTACTACATATATACATGTAATATAGTTTCTAGTACCTATTAGTGACTACATCTACACTGCTAGTAAATGAACAAATAATTACAAAGAAAAAGCAAGTAACACGTTGAATTAAACATGAAAATAGCATATAAAAAAACGTCCTCCAGTAATCTTTGCTTTATTTTCATCTTCGGAAAAAAATGACAGTGTAGGCTATTTCAGTTTTATTGCACTTATTAGATACTAGTACCCATTTAGTCATCACCCCAGTTGTTAGTAACATTCTTATTTCACTAGTTAACAACTGTTTTTTCCCTTTACTTTTGAGATGACTAGTTGAGATACTTTTGAGTGAAAAAATAAATAATACAGAAGAAACAATTTTCACTCGAAAAGTGGTAGTAAATTTCACAATTACATAGAAATGTTAATTAACACATTGAATTAAACTTTAAATTTTGAAATTGAAATCTTGAAAAACGTACTCCAATAATCTTTTATTTATAACTTTGAAAATCATTTTTAAAGTGTAGTATCTGATAAATAAGCACTTGTTACTAATTTGCTAACATAAAAAATTTACGTTTTAGGGAAAACATGTTAAAATGGCTTGCCATGCCTCTCCTGCATCAGCATCGCTGAGCATATAGGGAACCTTAATGGGTTGCCAATCTCATATAATGGGAAGACTTTTTTTGGATGCAAAACACACCATCCGAAGCATCCCGATCAATCATTAATGCATGACGTAATCTTCGATAAAAAGATCTTCATAGAAACAGAATCATCGCGAATCATGCACAATCGCACTTAACGCTGCATGCTTAAATATACTGAGTATGAATAAAAAGGTACACAACACAATGCACTTACATTTGATTAGGCGGTCGGTAGGGTTTAAACCCATGATGTCTGTGCTGGACATTCTCATGGGTTGTTGTAGATAACGGGGAAAGTGCGCCGACTCCTAACGGGCGAGCGTGCGGTCTTCGGTGCTGCGGGATGCGCGGGCTGCAGAAGCCGCATCACTTGGTGCGTCTCTCCTCCGTCCACCGTCGGTCAGGGGGAAGATGTGTCGCAGCTGATCCGGGGAAACAGTTATGCTGGAGATGCTGGACTCTGCCTGGTGCCGTGTGGGGGCGGATGGGTAGACAGATAGATAGATGGATGGATGGAGTAGCAGGAGGGGGGCTGGGAGACTTCTGCTCGGTTCAGGGTATCCTCGGCGCGTTGCAGCACCACCCCGACATGGCGAAAAGAGGAACTCCCACGCTCTGGTTTGCAGGGACTGCCTCATACTGCCATCACGCGGAGGCTGATTCGGGGTTTCCCTGCGCACGAGATGAGAGAGAGAGCGCGCGCGCACCCAGGCCTTGTTGCTGCTTTATTGACGTCAGTCTTTTTAATGCTTCATGGCGTAGAAAGTCAGAAGTCGGCGTGGATTCTGACTGTATTATGAATGTTGCAAAAACAACCAGCTTATGTTATCTTTGTTCTTTTATCTATCTATCTATCTATCTATCTATCTATCTATCTATCAATCTTTGTGTCAAACCAAATATAGTACAATTACCATTTTGGAATGCTGCTTCATTAACATAAGTACAAAACAATTCATGGTTTCCATTGTTTTTGGGCACTGCACCCATGGTAATGCCATGGACTTTTGAACATGTACCATGGTAATACAATGTTATTTTTTGAAATAACATAGAGTAGCATGTAAATAATGTATGATAGTATATATATATATATATAATGATAAAGACAATTTTAGAGCTATAGATGTCATGCATGATTAAACAAAAAACATACCTGTAAAGTGCATACATATTAATGTGGCATGGTTAAAATAATTAGGTTTAAACATAATTTATGTACAGCAGTGGTCTTTAGTTACACACACATTCCCTCATCTGTGGACGATAAGCTCGTTTTTTGCCGCGATAAACCATTAATTTGTCAAATATCCCTCCGCACTGGTAAAACTTCCTCTGAAAAAGGGTATATATATGTTATTGCCATTCATGTTAAAATTATATTAACCGTTTTGTTCATATAAATATTAATATGAGTCGTATGAACACCACTTACAATAAACATCTCGACATATACTTATATCCTCCTAGTTCTCTCCATTGAGAGATCATCTATCTACTCGTTTGTCGGCTCGAAATGGAAGCGTTCAAGCACCGGCTTTCATTTGGGCTCAATAAGCGTTGAAGTCACTGAGCGTGATCCGCCATTCTGGCGACGCTATTGCATCAGTTTCGTGATTCACTACAGTACTATGTAGCAACTGGCGTCGGCGCGCAATCTGTCCCCGGCGACTGCGTCCATTGGCGGAAGGATCTGATTAGAGCAGCGCAGTGTGAGTGATGCGGTAGCTGCTCGCTGCCGCTGCTGCAGGAGGAAGGACCGAACCGCTACCAGCACCACCTTTCAGTTTCGCCTTCAAATTACACCAACCGGCTCCGTCTCACACACACAGACCACCGACTGAATTATTACCCCAAGGCGTCCCTCATTAAGACACCGGAGGGGTCGGTCGCGTCGAAATTAAAGAAGCGCTGTTTTAATCGAGTATAAGGCGGGTTTTTGTGTGTTTTTGACAGCACAACAATGGCTCTGAAAAGAATCCACAAGGTAAGAGAAGGAAGTCACGGGCGCCATTGCCCTGTTCCGCACCGAAAACGCACCATCCTTTCCTCATTTACGCCGGAAAGGCGATTAAAGGATGTTACTGAGAAGTTATACGTGTTAAGTGTGGCACTGGTGGGATGACAAGTGTAGTAAAGCACCCCGGTTCGACGGTTCGGCCCGGGCTAACGGTTAGCACGATAGCTAGCGACCCTCCGTCGAACTGTGTGTGACTGTTATATAAATGTTTATTTGGTCACTGCTTTTGTATTTCCCCTCTGGTTTTTATCTCAAACTTAAATAAATAGTCGTTTGAAATTGAAGTCTGGTTGAAATGGCTCACTTGAGGATTAATGTAAGATCACGATAACGTATTAGCATGCTAACCCCTCGTTGCCACCAATGCTAAAGGCCCATTTGGAAACCTTGAACAGAGATCGTTTATATCTACCATAACTTCATGAATCGACTGTATTTTACTACTAATATATTAGTGTACATTATTATTATATTACATGTCTTTATTTCGTGCTGTTTTGGGTTGTTAACTGGCTAACCCCTCCGGTAGAGGCATCTGGCCGCAGTTTATCATCGCGTTGATGTTTTACATCATTTTCAGAATATATTGGTGTTTATATTGTATATCTTTTTGCCCTCGCCACCATCCAAAGATTTGGTCCTTTAGTTCATCTGTTTAATTTTTATAGCCAAAGTCGCACGTTATATATTTGAAGATTTGATGTTGGCTCTTGGCGCAAGCAAATTGGCTTTATGGACGTGGTCCAAAGCATTCATATTCACATTTCAGACCCCTTATTGTGCTTTTCTTACAATTTTGAAAGTTTTAATATTCTTGGGTTTTAGTAGAACAGACTAACCCGGAAAAATCTGAGTTACATAAGCTGTGGTCACCTCTCTTGTCATTACAGCAGCAATAACTCCATTACACAGACTGTTATGTGTCTGATTTGATATTGACCTCTTTATTCTTTAAATTATCCATCCATTGCTTTTGTTCTGCATATTTCTCTGTAACTTTATCAAACAGATATTTGGAGTATTAAGTTTCGGTATCAGTTTCTCAGTTTCATTTTGGTGTGCTTCATTGGAAGCGCGTACACTGCAGGTGTTTCAGGAAGGGATCGGGACAGGTGATGCAGAGCTTTACTTGCTGGTTTTCAAGTCATGATAGGTGAACCGTTTTTAAACTGCAATTTTGTTTGTGGTGTGTTGCAGGAGCTGCATGATTTGGGCCGTGACCCACCTGCTCAGTGTTCAGCGGGCCCAGTAGGGGATGACAGTAAGTAACTCGTTTTGCCCACCAATGTATTCGATAAACTAGTGTAAGTTTATTCTTCAAATTTGAGTTACAGGTATTTTGCCGAAAATCATTGGTAATTTCGGCTTTGATTGTGTAACCAAAATTCAACTTTTACTTTTAACACTTGTGCTGTGCTGAAAAACCTTTACCTAGTTTGGCGTTTCTCTGTCAAAATATGACTGGCCTTTTAAAAATTGCTTGTAAATCTCTCATTATGCAATATAAAAAAAAAAAAAAAAACTTAAGCTCTGATCAGTGAGGCCTATGATCAATCACTTCAAAAAAGCTGTGCTCTTTGAAAGAAACAAGTAAATGAAAAGATTGTATCCAGGTAATAATATAGCACAACACATTTATAAGTAGGTTTGGGTATCGTTAGAATTTTTCCAGTTCTGATTCCGGTTCCAGTTTTGCATAACGATTCCGGTTCCATTTAAAGGGGTCATATGATGCGATTTCAAGTTTTCCTTTCTCTTTGGAGTGTTACAAGCTGATTGTGCATAGATAAGATCCCTGAAGTTGCAAAGACTAAAGTCTCAAAACCAAAGAGATATTCTTTATCAAAGTTAAGACTCTGCCACGGCCCCCTAAAACGGCTCGTTCTAACACGCCCCACATATCTACCTCACTATGTGGAAATATTAGCATAATGCAGCCCAAATGTGCACGCAAAGAAAGAAGGCATGGTTTCAGTAACCGCAGTTAGTGTTGAAACAGCCATGTCAGGGAGACGCTGTGTTTCTAGGCGCGAAAGCAAAAGCACTTTATTTGGCCTTCCGAAAGTAGATGCATTTAGGAATCTTTAAGATTACTTACAACAGAACAGCAATGCATTTTATGGACGACCGTTTCGTGAACCTAGGAGAGGAGGTAATTCTGACTTTGCTATGACAATCTGGCACTTCTGAATCAGCTACTGTAAGTATGTTTTGTTACTAGTTTAAGTATTTGCTATTGACTATTCAAATGCGGAGTTTTGCGCATCGTGCGTGTGTGTGTGTGTGCGTGCGTGCGCACGCGTGTGTGTGTGAGAGAGAGACAGGGACACATCACAGTGGAGTCAGCTGTCTTAACCGTGGCTTGTGTACTGCAAACACATACCAGCTTCATCACTGTGTCTGTCACGCGACTCTGTTCCCCTTTCAGGCTCTGTCCCAGTTAAATTAACTGTTCTTGTTTTTTTTGACTTTTTTACCTTAATTGAATGTAGTGTTGCTGGAAGGTAGTAAGTAATGTTGAGTAATGCATGTGCTTCAAAGTTGATGTTTTTTACACTATCAATAACCTTTTGCTTTTCAAGCAGGAATAAGCTGGTTGGCCAAATAGTCCCTTGAGGGCTAAGACACTTGTTCATTTCCCTAAATTAATGAAATATTATACTTATAACCATGTATACACACACTGCATAAAGCCCCTATTTTACAAATAATAATGCAGTCAGGAGATATTCATTCAATGAGTGGTTTCCACATTTTTAAACATTTAAAATGCATGAAAATAAATATTTTCCATCACTTTATCACTCTTGAAATGACCTGTACACTAAATAATCTAACCCTCATACTTGCATAACAATAGCAGTCTATTTATTTAGTGGTCCAAGTTGCAGTCAGTATGTATATTAATGCCAATATGGGACAAATATAATGTAAATTAGTGGCAGCAGGAGCTGCGCGGTGTGTGCTGCCGGTACGTGTACAGTAAGACAAAACAACGTGCACAGTTATCAAAGATGCGAGTGCGCGTACAGTCGTGGAAAACGATGTGTTCGGCAGTTAAAGACGTGATGCGGCACGGCGCGTCTGTGGAGTGCGCATCATGGGAAACAATGTGCTCAGTAATTAAATAGGCAGGGCGGCGTTTCTGTTATTTGGTTTGTGACATCCTTTACGCTCACAGTGCTTGGTCACGTGTCGCACCAGAACCGTTTTC